GCCTTAGACTGGCTTTTTTTTTTTTTTTTTAAATGGGTAAAGGAAGGAAGCTTCACCTGCATAATTAAGGCTCATTGAGGATCAGGAACACTGAAAAACAACCTAGAAGAGAGTTCATATTTAGAATAATTGTGGGCATTTTGTTGCACAGTCAAATTTTTGGCCAGCCTAAGTAAAAAACAAACAAACAAACTCATTGCCCTAGTGTCAGATCTAACTCATAGTGACCCCTCCTTGGGTTTCCAAGGCAGTATCACTATGGAAGTAGATTGTCCAACCTTCCTTCTGAGGAGTGGTTGGTGGGTTTGAGCTGCCAGCCTTCTGGTTAGCAGTCAAAAGCTTTAGGCACTACGCCACCAGAGATCCTAGCCTAAATATCAAAGAGAAATAATAAACAAATGAGAAAGATGAGGCAGTCTGCTTCTGTAAAGATTTACAGACTTGGAAACCCTCTGGGGCAGTTCTATTCTGTCTTGTAGGGTTGTAATAAGTCGGGTTTAGTTTTGGTTTTGGGGGTGGGAGAAAATAACCTCTTGAAAAAGATGTCAATGATCAAAACAGCTACTTCCACTGTATCAGTTTCAAAGATCTGCTTATGTACATTTCTTGTTGTGTGCCACCGAGTTGATTCAGGCTTATAGCGAGTGCCTAAGGCATTTGACTGCTAACCAACCCCCCAGCCACTCCTTGGAAGGAAGGTTGGACAATCTACTTCTGTAGTGATATCATCTCGGAGGGGTCGGCAGCAGTGAGTTTGATTTTTGTTTGTATAGGACAGAGTAGAACTGCCCCATAGGATTTGAGTCCATCCCTATTATTCTATGGGGACATTTGCAGTTACTTAGACTTGTGAACATGTTCTTCAACTTAACTCCCAAGCCAGATAAAATTCTTAACTATGGATGTGAAAACAAAATGGGGGCAGGGTTGGGAGCATAGAAAACTTTCCTTCACTTCATTCCCCTTTAGACAAAACAGCAAATATGTCATGGAATGGGCAGTGTGTTTTTGCACAGGACAAAGAATTAAGACCAACTGCCCTGGACTGGGCAGAGTGAACAGACTCCTTAAGTGGAATGGCTAAGCAAGGTATATAAAGCAGAGACTTGACCCAAGTTTGTTTGCATTCTGAGCACTCAACAGACAGAAGCAGACAGTGGTCTGATAAGAGGTGCAGTAGACCTCTAGGCCAGGTGCCAGGATCAAGAATCCCAGAGATTTCAGCAGGTGTCAGGAAAGAAATAATAGTACTTGTGTTTGTCATATTTCCATTTTTGCTGTTAGGAAGCTCCTTTTGTTTTCCATCCTGAAAAATGCATGTATTTATGGCACTTTTAATTCTTTGAGGGATGAAGTAGAAAACTGTTTGAGTGCGTGTAGCAAAGGGTGGAGTAATTAAAACTAAAGAGATGTGATCAGTTGCTAAAGCAAAAAAAAAAAAAAAAAAAAAAAAACCCAAACTCACTGCAGTGGAGTCAGATCCGACTCATAGTGACTGCTCCTTAGGTTTCCGAGGCAGTATCACTACGGAAGTAGATTACCCAACCTTCCTTCCGAGGAGTGGCTGGTGGGTTTGAACCACCAGCCTTCTGGTTAGCAGTCAAATGCCTTAGGCACTAAGCCACCAGAGCTCCCTAATGCAGGTTAATTCTTGTCCAGTGTCTGAACCTAATTCTTCTAGTCACCAAACATTTAACATGCACTATATGCCCAGGAGGGAGCTCTGGTGGCATAGTGCCTAAGGCACTTGACTGCTACTCAGAAGGTTGGTGGTTCAAACCCATCAGCCACTCCTCAGAAGGAAGATTGGGCAATTTATTTCCATAGTGATACTGCCTCGGAAACCCAAGGAGAGGTTGCTATGAGTCGGAGATGACTGGACGGCACATAACAACAGAAGAAATATGCCCAGAAAGGAGCCTTAGTGGCACAATGGTTAAGCACTCAGCTGCTAACAAACTTTGGTGGTTGGAACCAACCAGCCACTCTATAGGAGAAAGATGTGGCAGTCTGCTTCCATAAAGAAGCAGACTTGAAAACCTTGTAGGGCAGTTCTACTGTGTCCTATAGGGTTGTTATAAGTTAGAATAGACTTGGCAGCACCCAGAAACATATCCAGTCACTATTCTAGGAAACTGAGATCACCATTGAATAAAATATACAAAAGTCCCTGCCTGTGGGACTAACATTCTATAGTTGATAGACACATAAATGGAGGAAAAAAGCAGGGAAGAAGTAGGATGTGTCAGACTGGGATGTGGGGAATGTGGGTTGCAATAGTGGTAAGTGAAGATTTTACTGATCTAGTGGCATTTGCACAAAGTCTTGGTGGAAATGAGGGAGGAAACCATGCAGATATCTGGGGAAAAGCTTTCCAGTTAGAGGGAGTAGATGTACAAAGGTCCTGAGGAAGAGGAAGCATGCTTGGCAAATGCAGGGCACGGCAAGGAAGGAACAAAGGGAGCAAGGGAGAGAATAAGGGCAGAGGACCTCTGAGAAATGAGGGGTGCAGGAGTGGAAAGGGTATGTGGTAAGCCTTGTAGGTTATGTAAGAATGTTGGCTATTACCCTGGGAGAGCTGAGGGGCCATTGGAGGGTTTGGGGTAGAAGAGAGACATATCTGGCATGTTTTAGAAGAATCACTTTGGTTTCTGTGTTAAGAATAGACAGTATAGAAGAGAGGAGTTTATTGCAATAATAAAGCTAAGTAAGGCCTGGAACAGAGTGATAAGGAATGGTTGAATTCTGGATATATTTCGAAGGTGGGTTGAGTGTCAGTTTTGATTTGGGTTGTGAGAGTAGCATAAACATTGACTTGGAATCCCAGAGAGTGTGCTCACTGATGTGCAGCTGAAACTATCTTTTCACTGTCTTCCATTTAATTGATAATATCTCTATCTATTCCCTGTAATGCACACTGACTGATGCAAAAGACACTGGATCTTCACGCCACTGAGAGGCTACTCTCTAGCATACCTGTCCACCACTATGCTCAACTCCTGCCACTGAGAGGCTACTCTAGCACACCTGTCCACCACTATCCCCAACTCCTGTTCCCATCACTTGGATTGTGTATTTACCAAGAATTGTTGATGCCCTCCCAAAACTGTATTTCATTTGTATTTTTGGTAACTAAATGGTTTAATTAAATATAATGTGGAATAACAGAACATAAGTTAAAAAAAAAAAAAACTGACCGTGTTGGAAAGGGTTGTATAAAGGTGAGTTTTTTAAAAATGGAGACAATTGATAAAATCCAGAATGATTATGCCCTCAGATTGCTTTGTAACTATTTTTTTCTTCTACTTTAAAGAAGTCAAAACTAGAAATCATATTCACATTGGTATGGTTTATGCAAGCAAAGCAAAAGAGAGTTGAGCCTTAACTTTCCAACAAGATCGACAGTGAAGGTATGTAAAAGAGGTTCACAAGATATTTTCATCATTTTTTAATTCCCAGTTCATCCAGCTTTTATTTTTCAATCAACAAACTAGCTGTTCAGATCACATTAAAGATGACTATTTGCACTGCATTTTATTACTAATTTGCGTATTCTAAAGTGTTCATACTGATAACAAATGCTTTTTTTTGAATGATATTCTGTTTCTCTATTTTGACACATGTGAGGGACAGGACTAGTTTCTGCGTTTTCATTTTAATATGTTTTGTGAAGAACAAACTCATTTGACTTAAAATCAACCTCCAAAATTAGATTGTAAATGATAACAATACACAGCTTGAGAGCTCACAATCAATCACGGAACACAACACAGACTTTAAAAAACTATAACCACATCACTAAATATTGAATCTGCTGCATTCACCAAAATATTACTAAAAAGAGTATCTCTTTTCATTAGTTTGTAACGGTAGAAATATAGAGGATGCTACAGAAGCATCTTTTGGCCCCCAGGAGGTGCAGGACAGACAGAAGTCAGACCTGAGAGTTATGCCTCCTCACTGTGCTTGAAAATCCAGTGCAATAGTTCTACCCTGCACATATGGGGTCACCATGAATCTGAATTGACTTGACAGGAACTAACAACAACTGTACTAGGGGCTGGTAAGAATACAGAAAGTGGTCCCCTATGTGTCCACTGGCATAAATGTTTAATGCAAGGAGCACTGGTGGGGTACTGCCTAAGGCATTTGACTGCTAACCAGAAGGCTGGCAGTTCAAACCCATCAGCTGCTAACAAAAAGACTGGCAGTTCAAGTCTACCCAAGGCACCATGGAAGAAAGTCCTGATGATCTACTTCTGAAAATTCAGCCACTGAATACCCCATGGAGCATGTTCTACTTTGATACACATGGCACTACTCTGAGTTAAAATCAACTCAACGACAACTGGTTTCAAATGCCACTTCAGAAAACATTCAATACAGAATGCTAGTAGATACAGGGTTATGTAAATTTAAAGCCTACCTCTGTTTTTTGATGAATTGTAGTAAATCTGCAAAAACTGCAGGACCCTCTTTGCTCCATCCCATTCTGCCTCACCTACAGGAGTATGGTTGCAGTGTGTGTCTGTGTATGCATGCAATGCCCTAAATGCTGCCGGCTTTAAATCGTAACTAGGAGACATAACAATACTCCTGGAAGGACATTAACTTGGCTAAACTGTGCAGATTCAGAGTTCCAAATACTCTGCCACAGAGGCTAACGCTGCAGATTTTTCTTTTAAGACAGGAAACAAAACCCACGTACTAAGCACTCCTGCATTCTCTCCCTAATATTTCCGTGACATTTCATCTTTCAATTAGGTGTTTTGAGTAGTTTTACTAATTGAACATTTTCTTTCTTCAATATTTTATTGAAGTGTTTCAAGCAAAACCAATAACACTGAGAATTTCACATATGAACTTACTAATTCCTGTATGAATGTCATTCATTTATTAAAATTATTCTATTACATAATGGGAAAATGTTCCTCAAAAGAGAAAGACAGATCTGGGAAGTATTTTCACAGTTCGGTTTAAATGGACACTGAGGTCAGACTTTATGTATTTGTATCTGCAGGTCCAAGGTTTTGGGTGAGAAGGCTCAGGAACATCTCCAGCTGTTTCCTCGATCTGTATGCAATCAGTCCTCCCTTGTTGGCCCACTGATCGACTCCAGAAGCACCTTCGTTCGCCACATGGTATACCAACTGTGGCAAATCAAGGCCCTTTGCCGGATTTCTTTCTAAGCATTCCTTTAGATCCACCATTCCCCCACCCATAGCCCTCAGTATGGCATGAGCAGCACAGGAGTCCCACTTGAATGTGGTATCTTCTGAAAAGATGTAAATGTCAACAAGGCCTTGCACAACACAAAGGCTTTTGTAACCAGCTCCAGCTGCCCGAAATACGCCGTCTCCACATACACGTAACAGTGCGGCTTTGATAGTCTCCTTTTCGCTTGTACTGATGACAGCTGAGAAACCGTGGGATTCTGCTTCAGCGTTGGTGTCTTCATTCCGTTGGCTCAGCGTTTCACTGCCATTTCCTTTAGGAATGGGGAGCTGAAGCGAATGGATATTAGTCTCCATGTAAGAAAGGCCCCAGTAGTACTGTCCTTTCCACCTGAGGAAAATTTCAGTTTGTAGGTTATCACATTTGTCCTTCATAACACATGCTGCCATTAAACTTACTGATATAAATAAGTATGTGCATAATCCATCACACTGTAATGAGCCTTAACAGTCTTACACCTAGAAATGGATATCAAATAGCCCGAAAAGCTATTTCTAAAAGCTACTGATATGCATGCAGCAGCCAATGTTGTTATAGACTAGGAATGCTTTCAATTTTAGGGCATTATCATTGATCTAGGACAACACTAAAATATTTGTGGGAGTCAGAGCCTCCAGGTACACTGCAAATTTTTGTTGCCACTTTTGGCATTTAAAGTTTAATACAGAAAAAGGATGAACAGATAAAGAGTATTTCTTTTCAACCTACAGATTTTTTTAAAACAAAATTTATTGTAATGTGGGTGAAAGTTTACAGAGCAAATTAATTTTCCAGAAAGCAGTTCATACACATTTTGTTTCATGACATTGACTAAAATACCCACAATGTGAGAGCTCTCTTCCCACTTCTTCCCTGTAGTTACCTCTTTTCTGTGTCCTTCTTTCCTATGCACTCCTGCCCCCTGAGCTAGCTCCCTGTGCAAATACTGCCTTCTGTTCTTCCATGACTGATGGTTCTAAGGAGTGCATTTACCTGGTGTAAATGTTCACCTCATATGCCTGTCTATTGGTTGGCTGGAAGCCACAGGATTGAGTTCAATTCCAGGCCTGAAGAGTAACTATGGGCCATAGTCTCAGGGGTCTCACCAGGCTCTATCAGACCAGTAAATCTGGTCTTTTTTTTTTTTAAATGATTTTGAGTTTTGTTCCCACCAACCTACAAATCTTTTATCATCAGTTTAATAAGTTTTTCTTAATTTGGTAATTCTCTTTCATTTCTTATTCACTAGTTCTACTTTGGCTTCTAACTTTAAGAAAGATACTTGCAGTACTCATAATAATACTATGATACTATAATAGTAATAATACTATTTTCAAAAACAGCATGTTATCATTTATTAATGCTTAACTTAATATGTATGTTGGGTAATTTATTCTGTTTACAGATTAGTTAACTGAGGCTTAGAGAAGGTAAAGTACTTGTCCAAGATAACCCCAGCTAGTCAGTGGTAGAATCTGGATTTAAACTAGGCAGTCTGACTCTGGGATATCTGCCCCTATCTACTTTGTCTGCCACCTCCATTTCTAGGTCAATAGTATTAGTATGTCTACAACGTTGTATTAGCAAAATCATGATAAATGGAGAAAAGACTGAAGTTGTCAAGGATTTCATTTCACTTGGATACACGGTCATGCCCATGGACACAGAAGTCAAGAAATCAAGTGATGTATTGCTTTGGGCAAATCTGCTGCAAAAGACCTCTTTTAGGTCTTAAAAAGCAATGATGTCACTTTGAGGACTAAGATTTGCCCGACCCAAGCCATGGTATTTTCAATCACCTTATATGCATGAACAATGAATGAGGAAGACTGAAGAAGAATTGATGACTTTAAATTATGGTGTTGGTGAAGAATATTGAATATACCATGGACTGCCAGGAGTATCAACACATTTGTCTTAGAAGAAGTCAGCCAGAGTGTTCCTTAGGATGGTAAGCTCAATTGGCAATAACATACTATACAAAACATTGTTCTACCTCCTACTTTGGCGAGTAGTGACTGGGATCTTAAAAGCTAGCAAGCTGTCATCTAGATGCAATGATGGGTCTCTCCTCATCAAGAGCAAAGAATAAAGAAGAAAACCAAAATTAATGGAAACAATCAGTCCTAGTGACTGGTACACCATCCGATCTGCAACCCATACAACTATGAGACCAGAAGAACTAGATGGTGCCCGGCTACCACTGTCATCCACTTGGAAGGGATGTAGGAGATCCTGGATAGAGAGGGAGAACAATGTGGAACAAAACTCAAAATCATTTGGAGGGAAAAAAAAAAAAAAAGATGGTGGGGACCAGGTTTGCTGGTCCAATAGAGCCTGATGGAACCACTGAGACTATGGCCCCTAGCTGCCCTTCAGGTCTGGAATTGAACCCACACCTGTGATTTCCAGCCAAACAAAGTACAGGCATGTGAGTTAAACATTTACTTCAAGTAGACACACGCCCTGGAGAGAACAATCATGGGAGAAGGAAGGGCTGCTTATGCACAGGGAGACAGCTCAGGGGGCAGGAGAGTATGGAGGGATGGACACTGGGAAGAGGTAACTATGGGGAGGAAGTGGGAGGGGAGCTGTTGCATTGTGGTAAACTGTGGTCAATGACATGAGACAAAGTATATGTGAACTGCTGTATGGAAAGTGAATTTGCTTTGTAAATCTTCACCCAAATCACAATAAATAATAATAATTTTAAAAAAGAAATTAATATTCCATTTAAAATTCTATTATAAAGAAATCTATTCTTCTTTAAGCTTTTATATTCAAATTTTTAAAAATTAAACTGAATTCAAATTCAAAATAAAATCCAAAATAATTCTAAAAAAAAAAAAAAAAAAAGTGAGGATGGTGAGACTTTATCTTGTACTTTGGTTGGTCATGTAATCAGGAGGGACCAGTCCCTAGAGAAGGATATCATGCTTGGTAAAGTACAGGGTCAGCAAAAAAGGGGAAGACCCTCAACTAGATAGATTTACACACTAGCTGCAACAATGGCTTAAACATAGCAATGATTGGGAGAACAGTGTAGGACTGGGCAGTGTTTCATTCTGCTGTGCACGGGTCACTATGAGTTGGAAACTACTCAACAGCACCTGACAACAGAATGTCTGCATCCAGTCTCAAATGCTTTTAGCCTAAGGCATTTGACTGCTAACCATAGGCTGGTGGTTCAAACCCACCAGCCACTCCTTGGAAGGAAATTGGGCAAACTACTTCCACAGAGATATCGCCTCAGAAACCCAAGAAGGTGTTGCTATGAGTCGAATTGACTCAACAGCAGTGAGTTTAGTTTTTTTGGTAACAACCTTTTAAAGATGACACCCATTTTTTGTCTTGGAAGGGAAGAGGGGTGGCAGAAAAAAATGAAAATTCAAAAGGTAGAGGTTATGACTATAAATGTGCAAACAAACATCACTTGAAATATTTGAAAGTTCAATAAAAATATACAGTCCTATATAAATTGGGACTTCTTTCAATAAAAACCAAAACCACAGGAGGAAAGCTGCTTGCTTCCACTCTCCTCTGCCATGCCCTGGAGGTAACCCCAAAGCACAAGCCATTGATCAGAGGCAAATGGAGTCCTGGCTTCTCTGTTCTGTGCAGGAGCCCATAGAAAGGGGGAGGGGGAGGAGGCAGAAAAGCAAATGATGCTGACAGCATTATAGCAAGAGATAACTAACCCATGTTGTTGTTGTTGTTGTTATGTGCTGTTGAGTCGGCCTGACTCATAGTGACCCCTCCTTGGGTTTCTGAGGCAGTATCACTATGGAAGTAGATTGCCCCATCTTCCTTCCGAGGAGTGGCTGGTGGGTTTGAACCGCCAGCCTTCTGGTTAGCAATCAAGTGCCTTAGGCACTATGCTACCTAACTAACCCATAGTCAGATGATAACCCTGCCCATACCTACCAATCTTTTCATTTGATAATTTTCGAAGTTTTTAAACTTCTTTATTTTAAAATTGCACAATGGTTCAACTAGCTATATAGTGATGGCATCTATCTTGTTCCAAATGTATTGGAAGACAACGCTACCACCAGTCTACTAATGTGATTTCTAATGGATTCCAGAAAGCAGAAAATAGAAGTGCTATATCCCAGATGCAAAACCATGATTTCTCCAAGATAGTATTTCTTTCAAAAGTTTCTTTCAACATGCAACTAGTCCCAAATAAAAGGATCTCAAATCCAGAATTGAAAATAGAAAGAACGTAATTCAAACATGCAAACTGTCAATAAGAACAACCCCATATACTGAGTTATATGAATGCCATGTAGAATAATCCTGACAATTAACTAAGCTGAGGTCATAAATTCTAAAAACCTTAAAATGCCAAATATGTTCATCTTTTACCTGAGAGTGGTTGGGTCTTGTGACACAAAAGGTTGATTAATGACTCCCATCACAGGCATCCCTGTCTGTATGTCGTAGACACCAATTAAAATAGTGACACACTGAAGTCCACAAGGGAAAATTCCTTGGTTGGGTTTGATGTCAGCAGAGCCTTTTATATACTGATAAGTTGAATCTTAAAAAAAACAAAGCAAAGTTGTTCAGATTCACGAAAAGATTATTGAGGACATAATGATGAATACATCCATAAAGTGCCCTACATCATTTCTCCAGGTTACCTGGTACAGTGGTTAAAGCACCCAGCTTCTAACCTAAGGTATGCAGTTCAAACCCATCAGCAGCTCTTCCAGAAAAAGATGAGGCAGTCTGCTTCCATAAAGATTGACAACCTTGAAAACCCTAAGGAGCAGTTCTACTCTGTCCTATGGGGTCACTATGAGTCATAACTGACTCAGTGGAAGTGGGTTTGGTTTTGGTTTTTGGTATATCATTTCTCTACTAATTTGTAACCAATCAAGTTACAATCAAGTAACCAATCAAGTCTTATCTTTGGCTGTCACTTGTAGTCAATTGTTTTATTTGGCCTGTTTCACTTCACTTTTAAGCTGCTTATGTTTTGTTTTCTCAACTAAATGGGAACTCTTGAACAGAGACACACCTACAGTTCCTGTGACACCTGACATAGCACATTGCATATAATAAGCATATAAATATTCATAACATGTCAAAAGCATTTAAAAGCTAATAGCTCAGGATAACGTGGGATTCTTTAGAGCTGTTAGAATCAGAGGATTAGTCCACAGTGGAATAGAATAACCACCTCCCAGGAATCTGTCAGAGACAGAATTACCCTTTTGTTTTCTTTTATTTTTGTCCAAGTTAGAAGAAGGAAAGAGACAACGTCAGTGGCACAGGAGGATTCTAGAACTCAATGCTGCTGCTGTGAAAAAGCAGCCGAGGAGCTAGGTTTCCCCTTCAGATGTATACATGGCAGCAGCTCTCTGCCATCATCAGTGAGTTAACACAGTTCAGAATACACAGGCTTACCAGCCAAAAAGCTGATAAAAGAATCAATACAGGGTGGATTGAAGAAACAGGAAACCCCTGTCCTTCAGAAATCATAAGTGATTTACCCTAAATGATTTTGGGAACAGGTCTTAATTTCCATATATAGTCCACCAGCTGAATGTTATGTAATTCTCTGATGACTAAACCCATTTTTATAAAATTGTGTTAATACGCTTGTAGAGTGGGAGAAGGATGTTTTCTTTGTTTGTTTGGCCTGCTCAGCATAATGCATGGTCCCAGTTGTAGGTAGAATATGCCAGTGAGGTAGAAGAGAACAAAAGAGCAAACTTCTTAAAATGAGTATCTAGGACTTTGTTAACAGCTTCATTAAGATAAGGCCTATACCCTTAAAGCAATGAGTTATAGATCATGATTCTAGCACAATTATGACAAAAAGAAAAAAGAAAAACTAGTGGTGAGGTTTAAACAGTGTTCACAAATTCACTGCTCGTGGGTCACGTTAGGCTGTGTTTTGCTTAACCTGCATAATGTTTTTGTTTGTTTAACCCAATTAGTTGCCAATGGTTAAAAATTAAAATATTTCACTTAAAAATGTGGCTTTATGTTTCTCTTTAAAACTCCAAAGATCTATCCTACCACCCCATATGGCAACAATCTGCTGGAGCTTAGTGCCCTTTAGATGGCATGCATGTGAAAGTGGCCATAACTGCTATCACAGCATTCTTCTTTCATTTATTTACCACTATGGCCCCTGATGGCATTTGAGTTTGAAATCCCTGTATTGAAAAGTCTTGTAAAAAAGAGTTAATTTAGCTTTGCATGTCCACATATGCATGTAAGTGTGCATATAAGTATATAGACATATACACACATACATGCCATATACATCTTATTCATATACCTATAAGACATCATAACACACATCCTTCAACTCTTCAGTTATCATTTAAAAGCTGTATAATCTTTAAAAAATTAGGAGAGTTAAACTATACTCTCAATGATTTTAATTTTTCTATGCAAAATAACAAAAATTGCTAATAAGAACAAACAAATGAAAGCAAATACTCTTCTATACTTACCTATGGGATCCACCCATATTCCTAAAATGTTCTGTGGAATATTGATCCTTATCAAATCCAGACTTGGATCAATACAGGAGACATCCTGATGAACAACCTTGGCTAATGCTTCAGATGCCACCTTGTTACCATTAAGGACTCTGCTAAGAAGCTCCACTGTTTCTGCTTCTGATGAACACAGTCTAAAAATAATCTTCTCCCCTGGAGTAAAGACCAACTAAAAGCCATTACATTTCGAGAGTTTCAGTGAGAATGAGAGAGAGAGAGAGAGAGATAAAGGGCATGGGGAACAAAAATGGCAAACTTAGATTAGGTGAGGGAAATGTACTCATTTCAGAGGTTCTAAACCTGGCAGATTGCCCAGATCACCTGGTGGGCTACATGAGTCAGGACGCCAGTGACCACTGAAGCACTTAATCCAGATAGCTAGGGATGGGCTCCAGGATTCAGAGGACTTTCTCCCCAGAAAAATGTCCACATGGACACATGCACACAATTTTGTACCACATGTAAAGGGACTCATGGACCAGTTAAGAATCTCTGATATTTAATCTTTTCTTTTCCCTCCCTTTTGACTGTTAATACACTCAGGTCACCATACTTATGTCTGAATATATTATTGATAAGAATGTCCTATGAGCACATTGAAGTGTTCCTACCTCTTCCTCATCTGATGCTGCTTTATGCCCAGGAAATAACAGAAGATGACGTATGTTGTTGTCAGCTGCCATCGTGTCCCCATCACAACAGGATGAAATGCTGCCTAGTCCTGTGCCGTCCCCACGAGTAACTGCAAATCGCACCTTGGTGACCCATGGGGCTTTCTAGTGCTGATTCTTGGAAACAGATTGTCAGGCCTTTGTCCTAGTTTGTTTTAGTCTGGAAGTTCTGCTGAAACCTGTTCAGCATCACAGCGTCTTTAAAGGAAGTAAAACTGTACTAATGCAAACAACAACAACAACAACAATCTAAAGGGCATAGAAAAAGCTCTCTTTGATAAAACTCACTGAAAATTAGGATGTAACAGAAGCAGCTTCTCTAAATGAAACCAGAAGTTACCAAGTCCAGGTGTTTTACCTACCACTTTAACCCAAGGTTTTGAACAGGTTCATTCTGGTTGGACTCCCTGCTGAAAATCTGCATTTCCTTCCCCAAACCAAAAAACCTAATCTCACTGCCATCAAGTCGATTCTGACTCCTAGCGACCTCCATTGGGTTTCCAAGGCTTAAATCTTTAGGGAAGCAGACCATCTCATCTTTCTTCCACAGAAGGACTGTGGGTCAGCAGCCAAATGCCTTAACCACTACATCACCAGAGCTCATTTTCCTTCCCAAGATATGTTGTTGTTGTTGTTGTTGTTTGTTGTCGAGTCGGCCCCGACTTATGTGGCCCCTCCTTGGGTTTCCAAGGCAGTATCACTACGGAAGTAGGATTGCTCAACCTTCCTTCCGGGGAGTGGCTGGTGGGTTTGAACCGCCAGCCTTCTGGTGAGCAGTCAAGTGCCTTAGGCACTATGCTACCAGAACTCTTAGATATACTAAATCAAAATCTACATTTTAAGAAGATCCCCAAGTGATTGTTATATATAGAGAGAGAGACTTTCTTAAAATCTCAAATCTTAAAATATACATTTTAAGAAAGTCCATATATATATCTCACTTGGGGATCGTATAGTGTAGATTTTGATTTAGTGTATCTGGGGTGGATATTTAAATTCTCAGTAGGGGTCAAACTGGAATGAACGAGTTGGAAGGCCTGCTTTAAATATACATCTTATGCCTTTGGTTCCTCTGGTTTCCAACCCCCAAAAGAAGTGAGAGAAAGCCTGAAAAAAACAGGAAAATAGAAACAAAAAGTGACAACAATGGAGAAAACAGAAAACTTAAAAAAAGAAAAATCAAGAAAACATGGTGCAATGGGATTTTTTAGGTATATAGACAAATACTCCTAGTGCTGTCATTATTCTAAGGACTAGCAGCATTCACATTACCTGGGAGTTCGTTAGAAATTCAGGATCTTGGTCCCCACCCAAGACCTGTTGAATCTGAACAAGATCTCTAGGTGAATCATAATTTCATTAAAGTTTGAGAAGCGCAGGGTGAAATAATTATTATAATGATGATTCTGAATCAGCAAGAAAGAATTAGATTTGTTGTTGTGGTTATGTGCCGTCGAGTCGGACCCGACTCATAGTGACCCCTCCTTGGGTTTCTGAGGCAGAATCACTATGGAAGTAGATTGCCCCATTTAGTTAAATTACTTAGATTATTAAGCTGAAAAAACTAAAGAAAACATTCTAGCCTTGAGTTGCAATACTGAAGGACTCTATGGGTATCCTGATCAAAGAACCGTATCCTGAGCATTGTTCAATCAAAATATTGAACAATGAAGGAAGCATCCAAAGAAGGTGGAAAGAATACACAGAATCACTGTACCAAAAACAGTTGGTCAACATTCTATCATTTCAGGAGGTAACATATGATCAAGAACCACTGGTATTGAAGGAAGAAATCCAAGCAGCACTGAAGGAACTGGAGAAAAACAAGCTCCAGGAATTGACAGAATATCCATTGAGATGTTTCAACAAAAGGATGCAACAGCGGAGGTGCTTACTCATTTATGCCAAGAAATTTGGAAGACAGCTACCTGGCCAACAGACTGGAAGAGATCCACATTGGTGCCCATTCCAAAGAAAGGTGATCCAACAGAATGTGGAAATTATCTAATAATAGCATTAATATCACACGCAATTAAAATCTTGATGAAGATAATTCAAAAATGGTTTCAGCAGTATATTGACAGAGAACTTCCAGAAATTCAAGCCAGATTCAAAAGAGAATGTGGAATGAGGGATATCATTGCTGATGTCAGATGAATCTTGGCTGAAAGCAAAGAATACCAGAAAGATGTTTACTTGTGTTTTATTGACTATGCAAAAGCATTTTACTGTGTGGATCATACAAAATTATGGGTAACATTACAAAAATGGGAATTCCAGAACACTTAATTGTGCTCATGAGGAAACTGTACACAGACCAAGAGGCTGTTGTTTGAACAGAACAAGGGAATACTGAATAGTTTAAAATCAGGAAGGGCATATGGTAGGGTTGTATCCTTTCACTATATTTGTTCAATCTGTATGTTGAGCAAATAATCCAAGAAGATGGACTATATGAAGACGAATGCAGCATCAGGATTGGAGGAAGACTCATTAACAAACTGAAATATGCAGAGACATAACCTTGCTTGCTGAAAATGAAGATGACTTGAAGCACTTATTGATGTGGATCAAAGACTATATTCTTCAGTATTGATTACACCGCCACATAAAGAAAACAAAAATCCTAACAACTGGACCAATAAGCAACATCGTGATAAATGGAGAAAAGATTGAAGTTGTCAAAGATTTCATTTTATTTGGATGCACAATCAACACTCATGGAAGCAGCAGTCAAAAAATCATACCTTGTAGTATTGCAGTAAGCAAATCTGCTACAAAAGTCCTCTTTAATGTGTTGAAAGGCAAAGATGTCACTTTGAAGACTATGATGCGCCTAACCCAAGCTACGGTATTCTCACTTACCTCATATCCATGTGAAAGACAATGAGTAAGGATGACCAAAGAAGAATTGACATCTTTGAATTGTGTTGGGGAAGAAAACTGAAAATACCATGCACTGCCAGAAGAACGAACAAATCTTTCCAGGAAGATGTGCAGCCAGAATGATGCTTAGAAGTGAGAACAGCCATACTTCATCTCACTTATTTGGTCATGTGGTCAGGAGGGACTAATCTCTGGAGAAGGATATCATGCTTGGTAAAGTGGAGGGTCAGAGAAAAAGGAAGACCCTCAATGAGAGGGATTGATACAAATGACACAGTGGCTGCAGCCATGGGCTCAAGAACAGCAAGTATCGTAAGGCTGGCACAGGACAGGGCCATGTTTCGTTCTGTTGTACGTAGGCTGGCTATGAGTCAGAATTGACTTGACAGCACCTAACAACAACAACAATACTAATAACAGCCACTGAACACATAGTCTCAATAAATCCTAAGACTGTTCAAAACAGCAAATTATATCACTCCTTTGCATAAAATTAAGGAGCTCTGTTGGCATAGTACCTAAGGCATCTGACTGCTAACCAGAAGGTTGGCAGTTCGAACCCACCAGCCACTCTGTGGAAGGAAGACTGGGCAATCTACTTCCGTAAAGATTTACTGCCTTGGTGTCTCCATGAGTTGGAATCAACTTGATGGCAGTGAGTTTTCTTTGGCTGCTTAAAATTCTCCAATGGTTTCCCATTACATTTAAAGGAAAATCTAAGCTCTTTCCCACCACCTGTGTGCCATCCATGACTTGGTTCTGCCTGTGCTCACCTCATCCACCACTCTCCAGGTCTTTCTGTTCCTCCAACATGCTAAACCAGTTCCCTCCTCAGAAAAGTAAAGGGGTAGACTTCAGGTCTCAAAAAAAAAAAAAAAAAAAGTATGTAGAATGCATTACTGTCCCTATAGTGCTAGACAGGTGAGGTATTAAACTGTTTATGCAGTAACTGAATGTAGGATTTTAAACAGGATTTCTTATGAGTCAATCACAGAACTTTTGTTTTGTTTTTAACTCTAAGAAGTACAAATAAGATCTCTCTTTCTATGATAGAACTAATTACATCTAATACACAGCTCATGAAAAAGATTTAAAAATTTTCAGAGTTAACCTAGAAGATAATGTTTTTTTTCTATTTGTTAATGCTTCTAGATATTTAACTATTTCGTCCACTGATCAGTCTTTTAAAGTTCACTATTTTTATTTTCTACTATTAAACAAACAAAACACCAAACAAGCTTGAGGTTCAGTGAATTGTTTGATATGGGTCTTCTAGCTATTGTCTTTGTGACTCCCATCAGATGACTGAATGGGACCATGTAAATGTGAGGTGCTTTTTGCCCACCAGGGTGATTGCAAAGCTCGCTAATAGTGTAAATAAGGCACGTGGCACCCTTGTAGGGTGGGACCATGCAAATAGTGTGTATGGAACCCTAACGTGGGGATCGATCAGTTTTGCCATCCTGCTAGGCTTAAAAATGAGTCATTCCAGAGGATGGAAAGGGGAGTCTCACTACCATTAAGAGAGAAGGGCCAGGAGTGGAGCACATCCTTTGGATTGGAGATCCCTGTGCTGAACTTCCTCGGTCCCAGGAGATAGCTGTGACACCAGAGATGACAAGAAACAGTGGCAGTGAAATGCTGGTAGCAGAGGCAGAAGAACCAACAGACCAGAATAATACAGTGGTGGGCTTCCTGGTCCACAGAGTGAGAAAGCTGAGTGCCTTCAGACAGCAGTTTTGCTAGAAGAGTGGGATGCCTTTGGACATTTATCAGCAGAGCTAAAAGAGATTTTAACACTTGCCCAAGCAAGGCAAGGACCAGTCTGAGGTCCAGAGAGAGACCTGCTTGCAGGCATGATTGAGGAAAGGGCATCCTGATCAAAGCACCATATCCTGAGCATTCCTGACCCTGAATTGTAACCTGTTACTTCCCTAAAGGTAAGCCAGACATGGGGGCATTTTGGAGCAGCTTTAAGGGAGGCCAGGAAGTGAGCAGAGAAATGTGGATCAGCTAAGGGAGATAAACTTCGCTATCAGTTTGTCATCCTGTGGTGGCTTGCATGTTGTTATGAGGCTGAAGGTTATGCCACCGGTATTGCAAAAGCCAGCAGGTTACCCACAGTGGACAGGTTTCAGGGGAGCTTCCAGACTAAGACAGACTTGGAAGAACGAAGAGGCCATCCACTTCTCAAAGAATTGGCTAATAAAAACCATATGAATAGCAGTGAAACACTGTCTGATATATTACTGGAAAAATTTATGAATAGCCCTGAAACATTGTCTGATATAGTGCTGGAAAATGAGCCCCTCAGGTCAGAAGGCACTCAAAATATGACTGGGGCAGAACTGCCTCCTCAGAGTAGAACCTACCTTAATGATATGGATGGAGTAAAGGTTTAGGGACCTCCATTGGGTGATGTGGCATGACTCAAAATGAGATGAAAGAGCTGCAAACATCCATTAAAAATCAGAACATGGAATGTACGAAGTATGACTCTAAGAAAATTGGAAGTTGTCAAAAATGAAATGGAATGCATAAAGATCGATATCCTAGGCATTAGTGAGCTGAAGGGAGCTCTGGTGCTATAGTGCCTAAGACATGAGGTTAACCGGAAGTCTGGTGGTTCAAACCCACCAACCACTCCTCGGAAGGAAGATTGGGCAATGTACTTCCATAGTGATACCACCCCAGAAACCCAAGGAGGGGTTGCTATGAGTAGGATCCGACTTGAGGCTGTGAGTTTGGTTTTTGGTTTGGTCTACAGTCTGAAATTGACTGAACACGCCATCAAGATGTGTTGGTGACTGGAATGCAAAAGTTGGAGACAAAGAAGAATCACTGGTAGTTGGAAAATACGGCCTTGGTGCTAGAAATAACGCTGGAGAACGCATGATAGAATTTTGCAAGACCAAAGACTTATTCATTGAAAACACCTTTTTTCAACAACACAAACAGTGGCTATACATGTGGACATCACCAGATGGAGTACACAGGAATCATTGACTACATCTGTGGCAAGAGGCAATGGAGAAGCTCATTATCTTCAGCCAAAACCAGGCCAGGAGCTGTTTGTGCAACAGACCATCAACTGTTTATATGCAAGTTGAAGTTGAAGTTGAGACAATTTTAAAAAGTCCATGAAAGCCAAAATATAACTTGGATTATATCCCTCCTGAATTTAGAGTCCATCTAAAGAATAGATTTGATGCATTGAACACCAATGACTGAAAACCAGAGGAACTGTGGGATGACATCAAGAACATCATCCATGAAGAAAGCAAGAGGTCATTAAAAAGATAGGAAAGGAAGAAAAGACCAAAATGGATGTCAGAAGAGACTTGAAACTTGCCCTTGAACAGAGAGTAGCTAACAAAAATGGAAGAAATGACAAGGTAAAGGAGCTGAATAGAAGATTTCAAAGAGCAGCTTGAACAGACAAAGTCAATAATTATAATGAAATGTGCAAACCTGGAGTTAGAAAAACAAAAGGGAAGAACATGCTCAGCATTTCTCAAGCTGAAAGAACTGAAGAAAAACTTTAAGCCTCAAGTTGCAATATTGAAAGATTCTATGGGCAAAACATTGAATGATGCAGGAAACATTAAAAGAAGATGGAAGGAATACACAGAGTCATTGTACCAAAAAGATTGGTCAATGTTCATCCATTTCAGGAGGTGGCATATTATCAAGAACCAATGGTATTAAAGGAAGAAATCAAGACTGAACTGATGGAATTGGTGAAGAAAAAGGCTCCAGGAATTGACGGAATACCCATTGAGATGTTTCAACAAACAGATGTCATACTGGAGGCACTCACTCGGCTATGCCAAGAGATTTGGAAGACAGCTATCTGGCTAACTGACTGGAAAAGATCCATATTTGTACCCATTCCAAAGAAAGGTGATCCCATAGGATGTGGAAGTTATTAAACAATATCATTGACATCACATGCAAGTAAAATCTTACGGAAGATAATTCAAAAATGGTTGCAGCAGTATATTGGCAGAGAGTTTCCAGAAATGCAAGCTGGATTCAGAAGATGACGTGGAATGAGGGATATAATTGGTGATGTCAGATGGATCTTGCCTCAAAGCAAAGAAAACCAGAAAGATGTTTACTTACATTTATTGACTATGCAAAAGCATTCGATTGTGTGGATCACAACAAATTATGGATAACATTGAGAAGAATAGGAATTCCAGAACACTAAGTTGTACTCATGAGGAACCTGTCATTTGAACAGAACAAGGGGATAATGCATGGTTTAAAATCGAGAAGGGAGTGTGTCAGGGTTATATCCTTTCACCATACTTATTCAATTTTTATTCTGAGCAAGTAATCCGAGAAGCTGGATTATATGAAGAAGAACGTGGCATCAGGATTGGAGGAAGACTCATTAACAACCTGTGACATGCAGACGACACTACTTTGCTTGCTGAAAGTGAGGATGTCTTGAGGCACTTACTGATGAAGATTGAAGACTATAGTCTGCAGTATAGATTGTACCACAATATAAAGAAAACAAAAACACAACTGGACCAATGAGCAGCATCATGATAAATGGAGAAAAGATTGAAGTTGTCAGAGACTTTCTGTTACTTGGTTCTACAATCAAACCAATGGAAGCAGCAGTCAAGACATCAGATGTGTTGCATTCAGCAAATCTTCTACAAAGGACCTCTTTTAAGTGCTGAAGAGCAAAGTTGTCTCTTGAAGACTAAGGTGCGCTTAACCCAGGCCATGGGAGCTCTGGTAGCATAGTGGCTAAGGCACTTGACTGCAAACCAGAAGGCTGGCGGTTCAAATCCACCAGCCACTTCTTGGAAGGAAGGTTGGGCAATCCTACTTCCGTAGTGGAACTGCCTCGGAAACCTAAGGAGGGGTCGCTATGAGTCAGGGCTGACTCGACGGCACATAACAACAACAACCCAGGCCATGGTATTTTCAATCACGTCTTATGCATGTAAGAGCTGGACAATGAATAAGGAAGACCAAAGAAGAGTTGATGCTTTTGAGTTGTGGTGCAGGTGAAGAATGCTGAAAGTACCATGGACTGCTCAAAGAACTAACAGATCTGTCCTGGAGGAAGTGCAGCCAGAATGCTCCTTGGAAGCAAGAATGGCCAGACTTCGTCTTACCTACTTTGGTCATGTTGTCAGAAGGAACCATTCCCTGGAGGAGGATATCATGCTTGGTAAAGTGGAGGGTTAACAACAAAGGGGAAGGGCCTCAATGAGATGGATCGACACAGTGGCTGCAATGATGGACTCAGGTATAGCGGGAATCATGAGGCTGGCAAAGGACTGGACAGTGTTTTGTCCTGTTTGCTATGAGTCAGAGATGGCTTGATGGCACCAAACACCACCAAAAACAAGTTCTCTAAAAATCTCATAATTGTGAGTATTGTTTGTGAGTTTTGTGTGGCCACTGCAATGTATTTATGAACCGAGCAGAGAGGTAGAGAATGCTCTGGGGGGGGACAGTTGGTGTCAGAATTGGTAAAAAGTTTGGAGGATAGAGGAGTGTTTGACCTCTGCCTCATAGGAATCAACTTTGGGCTAGTGATCTTGATCTTTCTCCCCTCCTTGTAAAGTTAGAGGAGGTCAGATGACACCTCCCCCACACAGTTTTTACAAAGGTAAAATAATCTGTTTCTCTGAAAAGAATCAGATAGGGATTTTGATATTTTTGTCTATACCACAGGGGAGCATGGAGATCTATTAAAGAAGAATCTGGCCCATAGCAAACTAATTAAATGAGACTTAAAACTGGATGCTAAAAGGAAACCTTTTAGTTAGTTCAAATCCCTTTACAGAGTCTCTGAGACTCAGAGAAGTGATGAGGTGATTTGCTTAAGATCACATGGTATTTCAGGGCTAGGGCATCTCCCTACGTTTTTAGCCAAGGTCCACAGACTCCCCAAAGGGTCTGCAAATGGGTTTATAGCTTGGACCTGAAATTGTCTGTATATTGTATAGATGTGCATTTTTCCAGAAGCATCTTTTTCCCATTTGGCCATGCAACATTCCCAAAGGTTAAAGCATAAATTATTAAAATGTGATATTTTGCATCTATCTTAAAAAAATACATGTGAATCTTCTAAATTATACTAAAGTACTACACCTCTGGAGTATATACCAAGGCACTACATCTCTGTAGTTTAAATGGCATGGTATTCTGAAATAGAGATGCAAGGAAGCTTAACATTTAATGTTGTTTACATTGAAAAGCTACTAAACGTCCATTTAATTAAGTTACAAAAACATATTAAGATTCTTACACTTACCCAAATCATTAGTAAACTCATTGGATTCTTCTCCAGAAATTTTTTTCCCCAAGCCTGGAAACTGAATGATTCAGAACATGACCAAAAAAAAAAAAAAAAAAGTTCAACTTTGAACAGATTTTCATTTTATATTTAAAAACAAAACAGCATAATTAGATCTGCAATTCAGAAATGTACAATTCCCAAAATTAATCAAGATATAAAAAACAAAGTCGGCCTGGTTCAGTGCTTAGTTTTCTAATATTATCCTGCCTCTTTTCCCCTCCAGAAAGTCCAAATTATAGTAGGGTTTTGGTTTTCTTTCCATCACGTAAATATTTAATTAACATCATCCTTCTACTAAAGGACCATAGTACTAGAGTGTTTGCAGCTGAGATAGTGTAACTCTTTCTCTTCAACAGCACCCTAACAGCATATATGAATTAATACTGCTGATTAAGCACCGCAAATTACTACTTTTTATGGAACATTAGATTTTGTTTTCATCTTCAGGTGTGTTTTAGGTACCTGTTGGGGGTGTCATTAGCTTTCAGACTAGAAGAATATGGTGACAGATACAAAGAAAAATAATGTATTGACCAAGTAATTAATGCATTCATAAAGAGTGAATAAATGGAGTCAAGTAAGAATCTTCTCTAATCTCTGTAATCAGGAAGCTTTCATATACATCTTGCTTCTGATCTTTGTACTTGTTGCTGTTAATTCCAACTCATAGCGACCCTATAAAACAGAATAGGACTACCCCCATAAAGTTGCCAAGGCTGGAATTTTTATGGAAGCAGACTGTCACATTTTTCTCCCATGATATGGCTGCTGGGTTCAAATCACTGAACTTTCAGTCAGCAGCTGGGAGCTTAACCACTGTGCCACCAGGGCTCATTGATCTTCTCTATCTCGCTCACTCACTGCCGTCAAGTCGGTTTCAACTCCTAGCGACCCCTCCTTGGGTTTCTGAGGCGGCATCATTATGGAAGTCGATTGTCCAGCCTTCCTTCTGAGGAGTGGCTGGTGCTTCTGGTTAGCCTTAGGCACTATGCCACCAGGACAACTTTTCTCAAAATACATGCTGAGTTATGATGTGCATGATATTCTCAGGGAACAAAAGCAAGGAAATGCTTCAAATATCTGAACTCAGTCATTCGCTGATGGCCAATAGCTTTAATAGTGTCCTTGACCACCTGTTATTTTTTCTCTTTTGCAGAACAGTACAAATCAACCTATTCATCAAAGTTGGAAGCTCAGTCTCCCCACATTACTTAAAATCTGTTTCTGGATCTACAGACCTACAGGTCATGAAACAAAGATATACAGACAAGACTCTTTTTTTAAAAAAAAAAAAAAAAGCATTTATTTATTTATCAGCTTCACATATACTTCCTGCATGAACAATTGCCTGAACTTGTTATAATACTCTGGGGAAAATAATAGCTCATAAAAATTTATATTGACACATTTGTAATCCAGTTGCTCAATCATCCCTTGCACTCAACTATCTTGATCAGCAACAAACAAAAATAAACTTGCGTCATTTAGTTTACTAGAGCCAGGTATTATGGAGTATGAAAAAGTACAGAGTTTATAGAAATTTCAAGAGGGTCCTTTAAATCTCTCCTCCTGCCTGTGGTCAAGATTCCACTTAAATCATTCTAAAATGATCCCCAATTTGTTGAGAATTTCATAGAAATTATTGCACTATTCTGTAACGCTTTGTCATTTTGCAACGCTTTATGTCATGAAGTCCTATCCTCCCCAAACCTAAAGTATATAATAAGTAGATTAAAAAAGGAAATATAGTACTGCAAAGAGCACAGACTCTGAAGCCACTGTGCCTGTATTCTAAAGCTGGCCCTGCCATTCACTAGCTATGTAACCTCGGGCAAATTAGTTAATCTCATTGAGCTTCACTTTCCTCATCCATTACATTGAAATACTAGTTTGTACCTCATAAAATTGGCCTAAGAGTTAAATAAGCTAATATATGTAAAGCCCTTAGGACAATGCCTAGCAATACAAGTAAGCACTTGTGAATGTCTGTTAGTGTTAGTATTATTGCTACTTATGAATATAATTTCTTTTTCTTAGTCAGATCAAGATACCTAGAATCACAATCACTGTTAGTTATAAACAGCTTTTCTACAAGAATAAAGGGGGACTGAAAGTCTCCAGAACTCTACAAGTCTGCAACCAAGGCAACCATTAGATAAATGACTAAGTCAGAAAGTGGGACTTATTATACCAGTAAAATAAACAGATAAAACAAGTTACAAAACTGTATGCTCTCGTTTCTGCTGAAATAAATTATATGTGTCACGCATACACATAGAAGGCAAATATTCCAACAATAGCGTATATGTAGCCATGGTTTTCTATAGTGGAAGGAGCTCTGGTGGTATAGTGGTTAAAGCATTTGGCTATAACTTGTTATAATACTCTCACCAAGTGCTCTGCGGGAGAAAGATGAGGTGCTCCGCCTCTGAAGATTTACAGCCTGAAAACCCTATGGGCTGTTCTGCTCTGTCCCACAGGCTTGGTATGAGTCAGAAACAACTCAGTGGCAGTGGGTTGGGTTTAGTCTGGTTTCTCTAGTGGTAGGGTTATGAGGTTTCTTACTTTTGCTTATTTTAGAGAGAACATCCATTTATATTTAAAACTTCATTAATAAATGAAAGGTCAATACCAAAATGTTTATTTCTAAGTGTTAGAAAGTGAATAATTTTTCTTATTGCTTTTGTACACTTAAATTTTTTTCTGCAATGGATATTTTATTAATATCATAATGAAAACATGGGGGAAAGAAAGTCAAGATGTTTATTTTAATTAAGGTGCTAGTATCCTGAGAGGGCGGGTATAAAGCATGCTATTCTGTAATGAGAAAAACACCACAGGGGCAAATGTTTGGCAGTTGCCTTGGTTGTGACCCTTCTTACCTTGTTCTCCATATTCTGTTTTATAACTTCCTGTACCAGTACATCAGCCAGGGTCTTGAAATCGACCGTGAACTTCTTGTTCTTTTCTCCCTCTTTCTTTTCTTCTATCAGCAGCTGAAAGAGAGCTTCCTGCTGCCTGCATGCCCGGGCAATGTTGGCAGCTTTCTCAGCAACACAGAGCAATTCCCGGAGGATATCTGACATTTCTGAACCGTGTTTTCAGCTGCAGCTGCTGGTGGAATCCACACCCACCCTCTGGGCTGTCAGCTGGAAAAGTACAAGAATGTGAAAGAGAAAGCAATTCAGAGATTCAGAGAGTAACGCGGGGTGCCTCCAGCACTACTAGCAACCCATCTAGCAGTCAACTTGGTTAGCATGGTTGAACAGCTAGTGTATATTGTATGCAGATCATCAGTGTGGAAATAAAACTGTAGATATAATCTAAAATATGAAGCTTACTTTTTTTTTTAATCTTCAAAAAATATTTTTTCAGTTTCAAAAGGTCCCTTACACAAAAAATGAAATTTTTAGTAAAAGAAAATCTTGGAAAGAGAATCTATGTTGTGTTTATAATTCCTATCCCGACAGAAGGACACAGAACACTGTTAAAAAGAAAGACAAATTTTCGTAATGACCTTAAAGTGATCACGAAGGCTCATGCAGTGGCAGTACTGAAGTAGAGCTTTTTCTTTCACCCCATGGGGGTGAAGAGGAGGAGACATGCAAGAGGATGTATTCTATTACTTCCGGAGCAACTTTTTAGAAGTATGAAGCACTATACCGGCAAGTACTATTTCCTGCAAGACTCCTAGCCACTCTTGGGCTGCACAGCCCTACCCAATCTCACAGCCACACTTTTTTTTCCTTTGAAAAAGAGCCCAAACCTGTGCTGCTAGACTGCTGAATAAACTAAAAGTTTAATAATAAAATGTAGTAAAATATGCAATTTGTTGGAACTAGAAAAGTTCTGGCTTCCAAAAGTTCTTATCTTGCATTTTAGAGGGAATCACTTATTTTTTAATAGTTGTTGTTAGGTGCCTTCGAGTTAGCTCCTACTCATAGTGACCCTGTGTACAACAGAAGGAAACACTGCCGGGTCCTGCACCATCCTCATAATCCTTGCTATGCTCGAGCCCATTGTTGCAGCCATTTGTCAACCCATCTCATTGAGGGGCTTCCCCTTTTTTGCTGACCCTCTACTTTACCCAGCATATCCTTCTCCAGGGACTGGTCCCTTCTGACCACATGACCAACGCAGGTGAGATGAAGTCTGGTCAGTCTTACTTCTAAGGATCATTCTAGTTACACTTTTTCCAGGGCAGATTTGTTTGGTCTTCACCAACACCACAATTCAAAGGCATCAGTTATTCTTCAGTCTTTCTTATTCATTGTCCAGCTTTCACAAACATATGAGGTGATTGAAAATACCATGGCTTCGGTTAGGCACATCTTAGTCTTCAAAGTGACATCTTTGCTCTTTAACACTTTAAAGAGGTCTTTTGCAGCAGATTTGCCTAATGCAATACAATATCTGATTTCTTAACCACTGCTTCCATGGGTATTAATTGTGAATTCAAGGAAAATGAAATCTTTGACAACTTCAGTCTTTTCTCCATTTATCATGATGCTGCTTATTGGTCCAGCTGTGAGGATTTTCATGTTTTTTATGCTGAGGTGTAATCAATACTGAAAATGGTAGTCTTTGCTTTTCATCCACCACTCGTCTTTTAGTTTGTTGTACTATGGAGGCTTGCGTGTTGCTGTGAGGCTGGAGGCTTTGCACTGGAATTTCAAATACCAGCAGAATCATCCATGGGGGACAGGTTTCAGAGGCACTCCTGGAATGAGAAAGGCTGAGAAGAAGGACAGGGCCATCCACTTCTGAGAAAATTGGCCAGTGGAAACTTTATGAAAAACTTTTCACAGTATCTACTATTTATTGAGCAAATGGAAGAAATGACAAGATAAAAGAGCTGAACAGAAGATTTCAAAGAGCAGCTCGAGCAAACAAAGCCAATTACTATAATGAAATGTGCAAAGACTTGGAGTTGGAAAACCAAAAGGGAAGAACATGCTTGGCATTTCTCAAGCTGAAAGAACTGAGGAAAAAAATTTAAGTTTTCAGTTGCAAGAATCTTTCAATATGAAAGATTCTATGAGCAAAATACTGAATGATGCAGGGAACATCAAAAGAAGATGGAAAGAATACACAGAGTCACTGTACCAAAAAGAACTGGTCGATCTTCATTCATTTCAGGAGGTGGCATATGTTCAAGAACCAATGGTATCGAAGGAAGAAGTCGAAGCTGCACTGAAGGAATTGGCAAAGAACAAAGCTCCAGGAATTGATGGAATACGCTTTGAGATGTTTCAACAAATAGATGCCCCACTGGAGGCACTCACTCGGTTATGCCAAGAGATTTGGAAGACAGCTACCTGGCCAACTGACTGGAAGAGATCCATATTTGTACCCATTCCAAAGAAAGGTGATCCCACAGAATGTGGAAATTATAGCACAATATCATTAATATCACACACAAGTAAAATCTTACTGAAGATAATTCAAAAACAGTTGCAGCAGTATATTGACAGGGAACTTCCAGAGGTGCAAGCTGGATTCAGAAGAGGACATGAAACAAGGGATACAATTGCTGATGTCTGATGGATCTTGGTTCAAAGCAAAGAATACCAGAAAGATGTTTACTTGTGTTTTATTGACTATGTAAAAGCATTTGGTTGTGTGGCTCATAACAAATGCTGGAAAACATTGAGGAGAATGGGAATTCCACAACACTTCATTGTACTCATGAGGAACCTGTACATAGACCAGGCTGTCGTTTGAACAGAACAAGGGGATGATGCATGGTTTAAAATCAAGAAGGGAGTGTGTCAGGGTTGTATCCTTTCACCATACTTATTCAATTTACATGCTGAGCAAATAATCTGAGAAGCTGGACTATATGAAGAAGAATGTGGCATCAAGCTTGGAGTACCTACAATACGCTTATGACACAACTTTGCTTGCTGAAAGTGAGGATGACTTGAAGCACTAACTAATGAAGATTGAAGAATACAGTCTGCAGTATGGATTACATCTCAATATAAAGAAAAAATCCTCACACCTGGACCTATAAGCAGCATAACAATAAATGGAGAAAAGATTGATGTTATCAAAGACTACACATTGCTTGGTTCTACAATCGACACCAATGGAAGCAGCAGTCAGGACATCAGATGACATATAGCACTGGGCAAGTCAGCTGCAAAAGACCTCTTTCAAGTGCTGAGGAGCAAAGACGTCTCCTTGAGAACTAAGGTGTGCCTGACATAAGTCATGTATTTTCAATCACCTTTATATAAGGAAGACTGAAGAGGAATTGATCCTTTTGAGTTGTGGTACTGACAAAGAATGCAGAAAGTACCATGGACTGCTAAAAGAACTAACAAATCTGTCCTGGAGGAAGTGCAGCCAAGATGCTCCTTGGAAGCGAGAATGGCCAGACTTGGTCTC